TGTGGACGAAGTCGTGGGCAACAGCTAGTCAGATATATTTGTACTTAAGATGTACACAAGATGTACACTTGAAAATATAAACTGCCAATAGATTCACTATTCTTTGCTATAATGGAAACTCGTCCCAATACCAAACGATATTATCTATTTTACTGAATTCGAAAAGTTTGTATACGTACATCATAATAATAGAAACCTATCCTTCCTAGAAAGATAACTCCTAAAAACAAACGGCTATCCGAAAATACGATTCATACATATTTAATAATCGTTAACCAACCTCTCTAAACTTCGCTCCTAACAATATAATAAGTAGATTGTTATTTCAGTCTTCAATATCAAGAAGTTTTTGTACTTTACGGAAAATTTTCACTCTCCGCCATAAAATCTAGAATTCAAGAAAAACAAAGTTGGCTGGAAAACTGGAAACTTTCAAGGTTTACTCGTAATAAAATTCGGAAGGGAAATTTCGGATAAGCTTAATTTTTTCTTTACCGTTTTTACTTCCTCATGGGAGAGTTAAAATTAAGATGTTTAAGTTTACGACAGCTTATAATTTTCTGATGGAATATCGCATTCGAGTAATGTCAGGTACACTTTGTCTATTTAGTAATGAAAATCAATGAGGGCGCCACAGGTCGTAAGCACCAACTAAATAAAATCCAAACCTTACATATAAATAAATATGTCATGTAAACAATCATAATTTTCAGTACATTAAAAGCATGTAAGTTTGATAAAACGATTACTTCATATTAAAAAATACGTCATCACTTCTAAAAATATGTAATATTTTATTTTGATTGACATTCATTCCACGCTATTGACTTCACCAAATGTATTTCGCTAGTGACTTTAAAATATAACATAAACACTATAAACGTGTTATATATAACATTAACTACGTTTTTTTAACACGTTAAACGCCATGGCAGTCACCGGTGACCGACATTAGCGGAGGATTTGCCTTCAACAGTTTTTTATTGGCAGCCAATGCCTTAAGGGGGAAAGTCGTCGAATGACTGCTCCCGCCTGGGTGAGGCGGGAGGGAGTGTCAGACTCTTACTGACAAAAACCACCCTGTTCCTTCTCCTGCACGTCGAGCCGGAGCCCCGGTTACCCGTTAGGTTCTCCGCGGTTATTTTTCTGTTAAGACTTTAAGAACCTTATAAAGAACTAACTGTTTTTGCCCGCGACTTCGTCCGCATAGATATAATTCCTGTTTTATCCCATAGGAGCATTTAATCGGGATAAAAAGTATCCTATCACCTACGTCAGCCCATACTCTGCCTGTGTACCAAATTTCATGAGAATCTGCTCCATATCCATCTGCTAATTCAGCGTGATTGACAAATATCGAAACATCCAAACAAAGAAACGTAATATTTACATTTGTAATATTATTATGATTAATTAAAGTTACTTACATTGTATATCCAGCGTCCAGTCATCTTCTAGAGCTGGTACCAACGGCATCTGAGGGTTGGATGCTCTGCATGCGAGCTTGGCTCCTGCATCAGACTTGGTCAACTGCAGGGATACCGTTGACGTGGTTGTGTTGCCGTCTGTTGAAAGCTGAACGAAGAAAGGGTCATTAATACGTGATTATTTATTTGAAAAAAAAAAAATATATCGATTGTGTTATGACTCAAATATTAGGTTGACAATCAAAATCATAACATCACGTAGAAATGATTGAATCACTAAAATGTCAGTGGTTTTTGTGTGTGCATGTGAATGTTACCAGACTTAAGAAAATGACAGAATGTCTTTCGTATAAATGTGTATGTTCTGCATGTAAGTCTATAATAAACAGGTGTTGGCCTTTTTTAAACGTGTTTGATAGAAATAAAATACAATATAAATATCAGAGAACTTTTTTGTAGGATAATCATGAATATTAGTAACATCCGAGGTGATACAAGTGTATCGCTAGCCTTACTAAGTCGTAGGCTACGCTGATGTGACGCGTCTTACGTCTGCGATGAGCGAGAAAAACAATAATGCAAGGCCACTTTGGCGTTTCTAGCGGCCCCAGTTAGCGTAGCCTGTTATTAAACCACAGGATCTTATAAGTTCATGTTAGAGACGAAAAACGTGTGTTATATATTATTAATCCTCATATAATATAAGTCAATTATAAAAAGGATGTTCACCTGTCAGTATTAAATGTAATTCAACCCTTAAATTCCAGTCAAACATACCAAACTATATGCCTTCAAAATCAGTGTCACTAGACTTAATATAACGATTCAAAATTACATTCAAACCCTTTGAACTAGAAGTTTTCATAATCAAAATTGGCTTCTATTAAAATCATTTTGAAATTACGAATCAAACGGGCATATGATTGCTGTCGGGGACTTAAAATTAAAGGGGCATAATCATTATTGTTCCTGACAGGTAAATTGCCGCTTCGTGTCAAGATAGATAATATCTCTAGAGAATATTGACGATCTACTTAAAATAATGCTTTATTCGTGTTTTCAAACATGAAAAGACGTAGCCGAGGGTGAACTGGTTAACAATTGACTTTTATAATTCAAATTTGATGGTTTCTGAGTTTATTAATTTTGTTTCTTAGTTGGTTTATGGGTGAAAAAGTGGTTGTTGGGTATGTATTTAGTTTAGATTAGTAGCTACAGTGTTAGGTAAAGGAATATTGCGCTATTTTATTTACAAACACAATTGGCTTACTTTGATTACCCAAATCTAAAGTAATATTTTCCAAAGTATGAATTTTAAATTTTGAGATGGTAGAAAAGGTTGGTCCGCAAGACGAAATAATGTACGATCTCCGACCACTGTGTAAATGCGGGCTGCGGACGGTGAGCAAGGGTAGCTCGTCGCCCGACCAAAACTAGACCCGTGTGTATAGCGCATCGCGTTTCGCTCTCCTTAAAGAGCGATCAGACCACCACAGATGATGCCCAGTACGGCTGATGCCCGATACGGAGCCGCATAAGGCCTAACGAGTTGCCATAGCTCCCGCTTGAAGAGCAAGAGTAGGAGCATGAGTAAGAGTCTGACACTTCCTCTCGCCAAACACAAGGCGGGAAAAGTCATTGGATGATTTTCCACCTCAAAAAAGGCAAAATAATGAATGTACCCCTAGATCACGTAATTATCCTTTCTTTAATTGTTTAAAACTGATTATTAATATCTATGCTCGTCATTTGCCTGCTATAAACACCAGCAAAAAGCACTATATTTATCTAAATCTAGTCACAAAACCTATCAAAAACACAACCCATAATGAAACCCTTCCAAGAACAAACCAGGCAATCAGACGGCTTATCCTTCTCAGATACGTATTCAGAATTGATTTTAATTAAGTGTAGTTAATATTAATTTCTAGTTGGCATATTGGTTGGTTTAATTAAATTACGTATTACAATCAAACTGGTTTGTATAGCGTATGCGGGGGCTGATTGACGTCACGCGTTCTTGTAATCAACTGACTTGAGTTCCTGATATTCGGCTTTACAGTGTAATCTGGTTACATGTTCACGTGGAGCTACACAAACCAATTTATCTTGATCTCCCTTTGTATGATCTTTTCGCACGTTCGACGGTCAGCTTATACTGGTTTGTGTAACTTGATGTGTAACCATGTGCCGTCGTATAGTCACTTTTGTTTAAGCAAGCATGGAATTTAATTTTAGTGACAAGGAACGCTTGTTCTTAAGAATTTGATGAAAGATGTTGCTTTAAGCTTATTGGTGGTTGTTGCTTTTGTTAGAGATTCGTTTGTGAGTAAATTCAGAGGTAGTTTAAGAAATATATTTTTAGGTTTACAGATATTGCAATGTCTCATTGACTGCGGTTGGTGCGATGGCTGGGCGACCGGCTGCCGTGCAACGTGTCGCGGGTTCGATTCCCGCACGGAACAACACTTTGTGCGATCCACAAATTGTTGTTCCGGGTCTGGGTGTTATGTGTATGTGAACTTGTATGTTTGTAAACGCACCCACGATACAGGAGAAAATCCTAGTGTGGGGCAATGTTAAAAAAAAAGACTATAAAATATAGAATCTTATTTCAGAAATCGTTTCGAGTTTTGGTTTGTCGACCGCAAAACACTAAGAACTTCATATGTAACTCTAATTGGTTCATAAAATCTGTCTAACAATCAAAAAAGAATCTTATCAAAAGAAAATTTGATTGGAAAAAAAAAGAATTAACTAGGGTATTCCATCAGCATTCACAAAAGCAAAAACTCGAATAAACAAGTACATAGTACTAGGAATTTGATGAATGATTGGATACCGGTGCAACATACGACAGCTGAAAGATTTTCAGCATGAAATATTACTGCAAAGGACGATTTTTTGTTAAAACGATCCATATGTTACGTTCGTTAGAGATTGGGAAATTTTCATGAAAAAGGCTCCCCTGAAAAGCTGAAACAAGAACTCAAACAGTCGTTGTGTACCCACCTGGTATATTTTGCTCTATATTTTTATGGAGCTTGTGGTGAATTTACAGTGGCACTGAATAATCGCTCGAAGGCGAGTTTTGCTTGTCACAGTTGATTGTGTACGGAACACCCAGATTTTTACGAGGTTTATTTTTTATGATGGATTTTCAAACTTTATAATTATATACAATACTATCATTTTGGAGAATGTGATTAAGTAGGTGTTAATTACATCTTACGTTGCCCCACACTAGGATTTTCTCCTGTGTGGTGGGTGCGTTTACAAACATACAAGTTCACATACACAATGACACCCAGACCCGAAACAACAATTTGTGGATCACACAAAGTGTTGTCCCGTGCGGGAATCGAACCCGCAACACGTTGCACGGCAGCCGGTTGCCCAGCCACCGCACCAACCGTGCAGTCAAGATTCGTTATAAAATTTTGCTTTTTTAGAATCTGATAAAACCGCGAATAAAATATGAAGGATGTGTATTAAATACAAAAGCTGACGTCAAGTTTTTGTTCGTTCATGCTGATTAAACGACTCCTTTCAAAAAAAAAACCATGCCTTTTTTCAGAGCACGGCTAATCACTGTACCGAAGGACCAACTGACAAATTTGCCTCAACGCAACTTAGCGTAACTTTCACTTGGTACAGCATTCACAAAGGAACCGTGATGGTCTCTTACGGGCGATTTGTGCACGCCGTAAGCATTCACTGTCCCATTCAATCTACATTTATTACTTTTACGTGCCCTTATTTCAAGTTGGTACTCCACGCAGAAGATTAGCCATTTCGATTAAATTTCTATGCAAAATTAGCTTCTCTTGAAAAGTTTTTGAATTGATGAGGTACCTAGTGTCCCTTATCTATTTGTTGTTTGTTGTCAATGTCGATGAGAAAGGGAGCTGATCGGTTTTTCTTTTCGTGGTGTCATTGACCTCATCTTAAATTCTTCAACGTGGGTGTGAGCTAATATTTACTTTAGGTAAATCTTGTTGCGGTGTACTGACCAGTGAAGGAGAATGAAAGCTGAATGCTTTGCATATAAATGGTAAAATTATTGGTATAGTGTATACAGAAGTGTGTTGTTTGTTTATTGTCTTATCACAATGTTTAGCTTGAAATTACGTTACATAATATGTTTTGATTGTTATGTTTCTATTGAATTATATTTTCTTAATATTTTGCAGTAATAAAACATTAGTGTCGGAATACTGAAACGCTACTCAATTTTAAGTCGTGCTTAACTATAGTTCTATCTCTACAAAAGAGATGGCACGATATTTGAGCACGACTTAAAATTAAGTAACGTTTCAGTATTCCGGCATAAGTGTCACCATTTTTGAGTGGACTCAAGACATAATAGCTGCAATTTGAAAGAAACTTGAAAAGTCAGTTAAAAATTTGCAACTTTCGCAAGACTTCAATTAAGTTTATTTCACTAGCTTCTGCCAGCGGCTTTGCCCGCGTTTCCGTGAGATTAAAATTAGCTTATGTTTTATTCCAGATCATAATGTACCTCTGTTTCAAATTTTATCTCAATCCCTTCAGCCTTTTTTGACGCAATGAACAAAAATGATTCAAAGTCAAAGTCAAAATCAATTATTTCAATTAGACCAGAAAGGCACTTTTGAACGTCAACAATATAATTAAAAGTGAAGCTATTTGCTCATTCCAAGGTGTAGATTCCTATGGAGAAGAACAAGCAAGAAACTCCATAGGTTGCTCTTTTTCAATCAGGTTCACAATACAATTCTCTAGTTACATAGTTTGCTGTTAGGATTGTGCGAGAACAATATAAAAATAAAATCTAGTCAAAGTGATCGAAAAAGAAATCGAAAAAGAAATTTAAAAAGACGCTAAAAGAACTTTTGCTTGACAAATGCTATTATAATATTGACGACTTTCTTAATGATGACTTACTGACTTATTAATAATATGATACCTTTAATTTCATCTTTCTTGACATTCAATAATTATAATTATTTCAATTCTTAATTTATTGGTAACGTATATTGTATGAGATTGTATAAGCTAAACTTGTAGATAAATTGATTAGGAAATACTTGCATGCCATAATGGCAAAATATGGAGAACCATACCATAAATATTAAACACCTTTTGTATATTTTATAACCCATGTTTGCAACCGAAATAAATGAAGAAAATAACCTTAAAGACAATAAATAATAGTCTGGAGCTGACCAGTTCCAGTTGACGGCGCCCGTTCACGAACATGACACGTACACCAGCACCGCCCAACTCAACCATATTGTAGGAAATCGAGCGATCCACTGCACGCGCCACCGCCAATGAAACCTTGTTTTTGTTGTTTTTATTGTTTTACTATAAAGGTTGTAAGTATTATGAGTTCAACTTTAGACGAGTTTAAAGAGGTTGTTCAAGGAATAAAGGAAGGTTATTGAAACAATATTAAAGTTATTCAAGTGTCTGACAATTACAAGTTAATTTGTTTAACAAAAAGGTGGACTGTTGTAACCATTAAACCAAGTTCTTCAGATGAGCGTGAGTTTATCAATTTGTTTGTATAGATAAGTGACTGATTTTATACTAAGATGATAACTGCCTCGTTGGTCGAGTGGTCGTAATTGCGACTGCTGGGCAAGGGATCTCGGGTCGATTCCCGGGTCGGACAAAGTTTGAATGGTTTTCAAAAAAAAAATGCTCAGTAGTAGCACGGAGTCTGGAATTGTTACACTGTACAGTGGCATAATATGCAACTGCCTGCCTCTTCGGGGATAAAAGGCGTGATGTTATATTGATCAAAAATATTTATGATATTTTTGTTCTAGTCACATTTCCGTGGTGCTTGGTGACTGGGCTTCTCCCAGTTTTGCAGTCTTTTTTTGTGCCTTTGGGCCTTATCCATTCTGTCTCTTGCAGTAATTCACCGAGAGAATTACGCATGACATTGAGACGGACTTTAGTGTTCCAGTATTTTCGTGGTTGTATCGACTGTAAAGGTTTAAAACCAGGAAGGTTTGCGGGAGTTGCTTCGGTTTTGGGTGGTTATGGCAGGCTTGTCCGATTAATAAAAAACATACATATTTCTAGAATATTCCACTCACCGTTTCCTTAGCATTGTTTATCCTGTGTCCATTCTTCCACCAGGTGATGGATGCTGGTGGTCTGGACCCTGAACTCTGACACAGCAGGTCGTATCTTCTACTGGCTGATAAAGGCTGATTGGACCCGAGGATGTGGACTGTTAGGGGTGGAACTGAAACAAACATATGTTTTAGGGCACTTTTATGTCAAATGTCTTTTATGGGTTTACAAGTTAAATGTTTTGATATATAAAGTCGAGAATCCAATGACTAATTGGAATAAGTTGTCTATACATAATGTAAGTACCAGAATCTAGCGTTTCTGATTGTTATCTGATATATTTTTATAGCTCTACCGATTTTGTACTAGCCTAGTAATTTGAAAGTCAAAAAATACAAAGAAAATTATAACTGTTAACAAAACTCTAAAACTGGCGTGACATGTACCGAAATTAAGGTTTCACTTAATATTAACTTTAATGCCATTACCCTCTAAACATTCTGAACAATTTTCTTCAACAAAATTTACACTGCGCAATAATGAAATCACTTAACGAAATCATTATAATTACTAAGCCCTCAAAAGAATTAGGCCTCGAAATAAATTATTTATTCTCCTGAAACGTGGATTATTTCATAATATTCCTGATAATATGACTTAAGCATTTCAGTGAGCACGCAATATTTCGTGAGCTTGGCTTTTGTGTCAAATGTGACTTGACCCATTGTAGAGGGAAAAAATCCTTATATATTTAAGATACTAGCTTTTGCCCGCTGTTTCGTACCTGAAATAAGAATAATGTTTATTTCAAGAAAGTTTTACAATTTCGTTGTATCCTGGACGTCACACTAGGATTCCCTGTGTCGTGAGGCCCAGGCTTCCTAACAAACAGTACAAAAAGAATAAATAACATAATGCTTAAATATAAATGTGTATTAAGTATACGTGTGACTGTGTATAAATATGTGTGTATTTGAGAGTGCGCGCGTGTGTGTTTATGTGAATGAATGAGTGAGTAAATAAGTGTTTGTGTTGTGCACGGAATATAGAATACAATGGAAGTAGCAAGTAGGCGTGGCACGCGTGCCACAGCTAAGCTGTGCACTGCTTACTCGAGGCAAATTTGAGTTCAATCTCGTTCGAACATGGCGTCGAGTTGCTAGTCTCGTGTCAAATACATATTTCCTCAACTATGCCGTTTTGTTCCGTTTTGGCGTGTAAAAATGATAGCAGCCGAAAAATCGTAAAAATGGAGGTGTTCCGTATCATCGGTAAGTACAATTTTTATTGTTTTCTTGTAGAAATCTTATTTTATTTCAATTTACAAAAACAGTTATTAAAATAATATTATTTACTAAAACGGTTAGTCAAAATCAACCTTACGCCTTCAAGATAAAGTTTATTTTGGATTTATTCCATTCAATAGAACATTCTCGCCAATTCTACGCTACTCAAATAGTTATGTAGTCAAATCACATATTGAATTTATCGATTGATATCGATGCAAGTGTAATGTAACATTTATTTAGATTATTTTTTTATTATTATTTTAGTGGTGACCCCGACGTGATTGGAAGCAACCTTCACTTCACGGAGCAGATCAGCACCGTCATCCTTATCGCCATCCCTCTCATTTATCACATTATCCATATAAAGTTTGTAAAAATTTATGTAATAGTTGGTTACTTATATTGCCTATGTGAAATAAAAAAAATGATTTTTTGAAAAAAGAAACTAATAAAAAATACGAACAAAATGGTTTTTGATTTACATGTAAATAAATACTTACCCTTTTTTGTTACGTTTAAAAAGTTATCAACGACATATTAATTTTATTATTTTAATACTGTCACACTATAGCAGTCAATATTTTTTTTCATATTATTTTTAAAACACATTTTCATATTATCGATATTATTTTTATCGAATTATCCTACATCACTATCTGAGTAGAGACCCGCATTCGAGCCAGTGATAAGCCATTCAAATATCACCTTTATTCTTACAACGTTAAAGTTCAAACCAAGTACCACTTTTCGTCGCTAGATGGCATTGTTAAACGCCATCTAGCGACGAATGGCGGTACTTGGTAGTCCAAAACATACTTTTTTATTTTGATTTATAGTACATTGGTTTTAAAGTTGCATATCGTATGATATTTTTTTTGCATTTCGTTTACGCCCATTTTTTTTCTAACCAATCGTAATTTCCGATTTATAGTATGAGTAAATTATAAATGTATTAGTTTGGCGACACCGGTTCTGGCAGAAATATTGTTTCAAGCTACTTCCATTGTATTCTATATTCCGTGGTGTTGTGGGAATGAAAGTAAATTTAAAACATATATTAAGCGCGAATTATGTAAACAAGCGTACTACAGGGTGATTGATTATCTTGAGGATAGGAATGCTTGGCATATTGTAACTAAATTCAAAGGTTTTCAATCATGTTGTAATCCATGGTGAGAAGCTACCGTATAACCGTGTTTTTACATATATTTATCCTTGCATCACTCTATCTATTTAAAAATGGATCTAAATGGGTTGTGTAGTTATTAAGAGAAGCATGCATAGTGATAGACAGAAAGTGACTTTGTTTTATAATATGTAGTGAGTGATATGTTATGTGACCTTAGCTGTCATACATTGTGATATAGGTAGACAAAGCGGACTACAAAATATGTCGTGCTGAGATAGTACTCGAATTGATAATATACTTATGACAACCGTCACAGTACAGGGTATCATTTTTTAGGTCGGAGAATAAATGAGAAATTATCGTATTGTTAGATACTAACTTTACACCTTGAGAATAAAATCTCAAATGCTTATCATTGACACTAAAAGTAAGTTTTAATAGGTAGCCCTAGGGATGTGCCCTAGGTGTTGCACTGTGTGGGTCCCAGAGCAGCTCTGTAATAAGATACGTTGTCTCCTTTAAATGCTAACGGTGGTACTCGGGGTGGTTTTAGTAAGATAAAAATACTACACTACCTCATCTTTTTCCCTTAAAAAGCCTCCCGTCAATGACTAAGGCCCCTGTAATCATCAACTCAACATTATATGCCACTGATCATTACTTTTAGGTCTTTATATACATATAGGGGCAAGTCCCTTAACGCCGGACGGCAACTAACGCTGGACACTTGTCACTGGCATCTCAATATCTAATAACGCGGCATCCCAGCGGCAGATACCTAAGATTTTTGGTAAAAATTGAATCGCTCGTGTTATTAGTTATCGAGATAATACAAGTGTCCGGTATTAGGTGCCGTCCGGTGTTGCGGGACTTTCCCCTACATAATGTATTTATGTAGGTTTATGCACTTTGATTATCTAGTATTTCGTACGTTGTATTTACATACAATTTTCGCTGCATATAATACCAAACCGACGCCAACCACATGAAGCTATCAAACACTAATATTAGTTTGTGCGGGTATCGAACCACAATGATGCTGTCGGTCAAGTCAAATGTTTCTGTGGTTTTAATTATATAAAGTTAGTGAAACTCACTATGTTTTTTTTCCCTAAAAAGCTAAGACGTAATTTGCATGAAATGATTATTAATCTAGGGCAGGTACTAATATTTTTTCTGAAAGAAGTTCGCGACTATTTTACAGATATATTTTTTTTTTGCATTACAAAATCTTTATAGTGTTCCATGAATTCTGTGTTTAGATGAGCACGTCCAAAAATACATCGCAGGACTTTGAACGTTATGAGACAAAAGTCTTTTCAGACACACATATTTCTAATAAAACGAATGAATTGCAGGTTGAGAATAGACAATTTATTTAACACTTCTATTATCTATGTAAACTGGTACACACATTTGACACTAGAGGGAGCTAGTATGAAGAAAAACTAATATTATTTTGATACAACTGAAATGTATATTTTAACAATTTCAAGTGACGACACTTGAAATGTGTGTGTGAAAATACTTTTGTCCCATTCGAAAATCGTAACCAATAACCACCAACAAACGAGATACGACTGGCAATCTACAAGACTTCCCCTATTTAACCGTCTGCAGCTGACGTTTAGTCCCACAGACACCGCGAAATAGAAAATCACGTGTTTACCGTCATTTTTCAAATACGAGCATCACTGCTGCGAGTATCTTACTGTATAGTGCTCGCTATACTTTAATTCTACAAAAATATTTGCTGTTGAAATGGTGTCTGGTATAATATACACCTCAGTTGAATTGTAACAATTTAACCACGTCAGTTGCAGAGGGTTAATTTACCACGAAGGGCTTAACCAGAATATTCTAGAAAAAAAATATTTCAATAAAATATACTTTTATTGTCAGTCATGGTAGATGTCCCACCCACACGCAGGAAGCGCTTCGCATCAATCTTCCTTGTGCGTACTGCTAAGGAGTGAAATTCTTTGCTAGAGTCCGTATTTCCTGAAGTGTACAACCTGGGTGTCTTCAAGGCCCGAGTGAATAGTTGCTTATGGGACGATGTGCTCCATCGTAGACCACGTCATCGTTTACCACCAGGGGAGATGGTGGTAAACGTTGGCCTATCAAGTATGTATATAAAGAAATATACTTACAATTCATATCCAAAGTAAGAGTAGTTTCTATGGGGTGTGCTCGAGGATGATTAGAGGCTCTGCATGTAAAAGCAGCTCGCACGTCAACTCGTGTGAGTGGTCCCACGTGGAGGACCCCTCGGACCCCATTACCGGAGAGAGGGGTCGCTGGGGTATCCGTCTCTACCTCGTCCCGGAACCATTTGATCCAGGGTCGTGGACGACCTGTGGAGGTAGATATTAAATTGAGATCTCTTTTAATATTGTTCGGTTTGGGTAAATAAATCAGTTGTGTTAAGCAAATGCCTCTTCTCACATTTAGAATCGCATTAATCACCACGCTTGGTCACGATGGATTGACGGTTTTTAAGTTTTGAAATTCTCAGTTCTCGCACGGGTCTAGAATCACTAATGATGGACAACTTGATAACTAGATTTAATTTCAGTAAATATCTGAAAGAGTGAAACTAAATCCTACGTCTGTTTGTTCTATCAAATTAAATCTAGAATTCTGTTTTAATTACGTTCATTAAACATTAAAATCTATTAGATACTAAGTAAATTATAACGATTCATAGATGTCTGTTTACTTTAATTCGTTAGATAGTCAAAAACATTCAAAATAGTTAAATGGGAAAACTGGATAACATTTTAGATAATAATAACATTGTAAGACTCAATAAAAGACTGCTAACGACTAAACTCATGTATTGTTTCTTCATAAACGATAAATAAACAGAGTGTGCTGAGACATACTGCACAACGCTTGTATATTACGTAAGAAATACAAACTTAGCATACGCTACAACATGACACATCTCTAATATACGCTACGCCGCGCCTTTACAGCATAAATTATGCTCTGCTTTTGGTTTCAAGGAATCATTAACAAATTTCGAAGATTAGAAGATTTAAAACTTTATGGCTATTATGCCATATAACCTATTTTTAATTTATTTCTTTAAAAAAAAAACATTTTCCCACACTAGGTTTATCTCTTGTATCGTGGGTGCGTTGACAAATAAACAAATTCGCATACACCATTTTCAAAATTAAATTATATTCTGCTCACCTCCACTGACGTCACACTTCAACGTGAACGTATCACCTTCGATGTACGGGCCGACAATGGCTTGTTTCACGTCGCCCTTGTCATCCGTGATCACCATCTTATTTGGCGGTACTGTGAACAAAAATAAATAAATTAACAACTTTAATAAATCCAGAGAAATCACAAATACTTTGCCGATCTATTTAAAGGGCGTTAAGCTTTCAATAACTTCAGTTACAAGTCTAAACAGAATACAAGCGTTTTGTTTTGTTTATATAAGAATTATGAATGTGCTAATATTAAAGAAGGGCCCAATTAAAAGTATTACACCGACGAGACTGTAGATGAAACCAAAGAAGCATGTAAGAATCGTTATAGCCATTGGCGTTCCATAGTCTCTGTCTACCCCCATGAGAAACAGGCGTGAAGATATGTATGTAATAATGTGCTTTACACCTAATCTTTACTAATGAAGATGACGTGAACAATTTTTTGCGTATGGCAATATTTTTAACCTACAGGTATTTTAAAACACAACATCTGATTTAATATTTTGATAATTATCAATAATAAAATTATCAATACCAATATTATAAACGCGTTAACTAAATACAAATATCTATGTAATGAAGCAACGCTTACGTTGTGTTTCGTCGTGTGAGTGAGGTTACCGGAGGCCCAATTACCTTCCCCTTCCCCAATCCCTGAATCCCCAACGATCCTCAAACTCCTAATCCTCAAAAAGCCGGTGACGCACTCGTAACGCCTCTGGTGTTCCAGGTGTCCATGGGCGACGCCGATTGCTTACCATCAGGACGGATCACCGTCTGCTCGTTTACCGGCTTATGCCATAAAAAAATCTACTATTTAATCAATAATTAATTGAATAAAATAAACAAATTAGATAACTTAATAATAATACGTAATTCAACCGTCAAATTGTACCACGTATGTGCTAAATAAAATAATTATAATTAAGTTAACGTAATAAAACCGGTACAAATTATATTCGTAATTATAATTACAGGGTTGATTAATTATATTGTAGATTGGAACCAAACTAATTGCTTCCCATTGTTTGTTACTACCAGACTAACAGTAACACGTAAATACAGATGCCGCAGTCTAATTTACTTTGAAATGAATCATTGACGACAGTAAAAAAATGTAAGTATGGTGTTCATATTTTTCTTAGACTCGAAAATTTTTACTTTTCGTTACCTGCATATAGTTTTTATAGGCATTTCAATAACATGGAATATCTTGTAGTTTCTACTAACCCGCGATTTTACTACTAAAGACGTAAGATAACCATGTTTGTATTTTTAATGAATTTCACTAAGGTGTTCGTTTTATATCCCACACTAAGATATAATGTGTCGCAGGTGCGTTTACAAACATGCAATATCACATAATAATACAAGACACCCAGACAAAAAGCAACAATTTGTGGATTATACAAAGAGATGCTCGGTGACGGGATTGAAAACGACGAAATCAACGACACGCTTGGTGCGGTGGCTAGACAACCGACTGCCGCGCAACGTGTCGCGGGTTCGTGTGTGTGATCCTCAAATTGTTGTTTCGGGTCTGGGTATCATGTGTATGTGAACTTGTATGTTTGTAAATGCACCCACGACACAGGAGAAAAACCTAGTGTGGGGCATAGTTTAAAAAACCAACCCGATATCCAGCCACCGCGCCAACTGTGCAGTCAAAAACGCTCCTACTTTGCATTTACATAAACTAAAAGCATCGGATAAATATTACTAAATTAAATATAATATACAACTTAAGATTAAAATTAATTATAGGAAAACAAATTAGTTATAAAGCATCGAACATCATTTATAATAAATAAATTAACAACTTTAAATTAATACCTTGATTTATGAGTTTAGCAAAAACGTACCTACTTTGCATTTACATAAACTAAAAGCATCAGATATATTAAAAAAATCACGAACAAACTCCTCCCAAAACATTTTCACAAACCATTCCAATGATCAAGCAAGCTATACTACAAAAAGAATACTGAAATTTCCAGTAAAAATAAAATTAAATGTTCCAAAGCTGTACAGCATTCCTTCGACTAACACTCCTCCGCTGATCGGTCTAAAAGCATAAAATCTCGGCTAAAGATGTCGATAATAGCGTTAATATAATTTTCATAGCCCTATTCCTTTACTTTTTATTATTCATTTAGCATTAATTCCATTTTTATTGAACAACTTTTATGTCCAATTATTATATAATGCTTCCCGTTGATTTAAACGAAATTCCCTTAATTTTTGGGAGGCGATGAGATTAGGAGCGGGTCACCTACTTTTAGAGCTCAGTTTTTAGACTGCCGCCTTTATTCGGGGCATTTCTGGTTTAATTGTTCATTTATATTCATATTCGGTTATTTAAACATTTTATTAGAGTAAATAAATTTATCTGACGTTTATAAGTACTCTGATTACATTTAATCTTAAATAACTTAGACAGTAATCGGAAATGTTGATCGCTATACTTATGTGATTGAAACGCTGTATCAATTATCTATACTAATATTATGTATAGAGCTGAAGAGTTTGCTTTTTGTTTGTTTGTTTGAACGCGCTAACCTCCGAAACTACTGGTCCGATTTGAAAAATTATTTCTGTATTGGATAGCCTATTTATCGAGGAAGGCCGACCAGAGCGAGTAAAACCGCGTAGAAGTAGCTGGTAATAAATAAGAGTAGAAATATACATCAGATCTCAGACACTTACGCATGTATACTGAAATGTGAATAAATTTTCATTTGTACATGCTTAAACATCGTGCTATCTCTGTCATTTTAAAAAGAAATTGTAGCGACAGAACTTTACTCGTAGTGCGACTTAAAATTGAGTGACGTTTGAGTATTTCAGCGTAAACCTATTACAAAGACAAGAACAATAAAACTTAAAGCAAAACTAATAACTATTAAGCACAAAATTTTCGTAAGTACTATGATACTGATTTCTTATACGAATGTCTCATTGTCTTTATTAATTAGAATTCATTCAAAACTAAGTCTAATGAATAATAGCATAAGTTATTTAATTACATTTTTAATATAATCCGTCATAATTAACTCTTCAAAGTTTGATCAATGAGTGGGCAGTCTAATTGTCATTAAGAAAGGACATTGTGACATTGTCCTCAATACTAATAAAAGACAACCTTTATACGACCCGACAGATTATTTCGAAATTAATCTCAGCTAAGAAAACCTTGTAATTATTATCATCATAATATTGATTGGCACTATAAACGTACAACACAAAATAATCTATTCCCATAAATCTTTAATTAAAATATCAGTAAAATACACGAAATATTTATCGCAAAATATTTCCCAAACAAGAACGGATAACATAAATATTCCCTCAAGATATTCTCTATATTAATAATTTAGTGAAAATCTGAGATTGTAAAGATGTATCTGGTAAAAGGAAAATATAAGATCAAAGAAATATTTCGAGATCAAAGTCTTTTCGCATCTAGATATCCGTTTATATCGAAGCGGAGTGAAACAAAAACAGAACTGTGTGCTTCTCGACTTATGATTGGAGGAAATGGATCAAGATGGCGACTACACAGTGGTTTAAAACCGCCTTTTTTACTGTAAAATTGAATCGAACTAGTGAGTTTTGTTTCAGATTGGTAGTGATGCTTTTATGATTGCGTGGGTGCATTTATATATTTATGTAGGTATGTATATGAATAGCTGTTGTAAAGTTATCTTTTATGTCGTATATAAAAGACAGATCAGTAAACAGTTTAATTCAAATTCAAATAAAATATCAACAATGACAACATCAAAAGATAAATTACAGAATTCTTCTACAAAAAACATCACACAAGAATACGTAGTACAATACAACCACAATAGCTATCCAAAATATATTCAAAACGACTACCAAAGAGACATTTTAATAATATCAATTTGTGTACTCTATGGCCTCGAGTGTATTGCAATAACGTTGCCTTTGTACTCGGTCCAAGAATCGTACTTTGTGCAACAACCCTACGAATAATCTTATTCTCTCTAGCAACTCCTCTTGAGATGTGAGCCGTTACCATGGTAACGATAGCCTGTTTGCAGACTCTCTAGTGCTCGTTCGTTTTTGGCTAATTACGTAAGCGAAACGATTTGTGTCGAGCGTTTAAATTTAGAATGGGACGCGTAATTTATTCAGAAAAGAAGTGAGGTTGTTTATTTTTTATTTTAAACTACCTTGCCAGCGACTTCGACGCCTTTCTGTTTGATAAAAAGTAGCCTGTGTATTATATCAGCCCATATCATACCCCTGGATTAAATTCCATTCCGATTTTTTTTAACTTTTTTGTCATGATTAAGTAACAACACATATATACATAAATATACAAAGTTTCACAATGTATAATGATATTTTTTTAAAGACCATTCTTTCCATCATAATTATTTTTGTGTCAACTAAGAAATTAAAGCTAGATTATTTATACATTATAGTACGAGTCTTATTAACATTTCTACGAAATCTCGTAGCAAGAGCCTACGCCGTAGCCATTTGCTACGTAGGAGGTATACATACTTTTTCTCAGTTGCCTTTATAGTGTCATGCCAAGAAGCGAAATATTTACGTTTCATCGTTAAGTAGTTCCTTCATGAATATGAATGAGGCTATGGCAGTGTGTAAGCATCGTTAAGACGAGGCATTATGTAGTTTTCTCTATTTTGTAAATCTATGGGAGAATAATGTATGGAATGACTTACTTATGTGAATAAGATAGTTAGTAATTACGTTTTGATATTTCTACCTATATTATCTGTATGTATAATGAAGTATTATTTATCGCATTCACAAACAAGTTACTAGTATTATTATGATTATGTTTTTCGGATTGGTCACGTAACTGCTTGACGAAAAACTCGACTAGATTCTCATGAATATGAGCCCCAAAAGTGGCTTGAAACTGGTCGAGTTCCTCGTGAAACAGTTACGTGAGTAAGACGAGAAACATAATAATGAATGATTTTTTCTTTTTATTATTAATTTTAGGCCCCAATAAGATTTGCTCCTGTATTGTGGAATAAATTGTGGATCTCAAAAGACTTGTTCCGTGCGGAAATCGAATCCGCAGTATGCTGTACTGTACGGTAGCCAGCCATCACGCCAACCGTGCAATTATGCACGCCATATCGTAAGCATGTCTTAAAAAACTTATAATACAAAAAAGTAACTAGATATTTTCGTCAGGACTATATTTTTTATTTGGTAAAAATTTTTTTTTTTTTTTTTTTTTTTTTCTTCATAGTTATTCTCTCAAATGTGTTCATGAAAAACATTAACACATATATGATTGAATATCACTCAAGGACGTCTGGACATTTTGAGAATAAGATTTTTTTGTAATATTTTTAATCCATTCGTCTACCCGAAGGCTACCTGTAATTCAATGTTAACCTTGAATGGATCCTTAATCCTTGTTCATGAAATTGAATATTTAAATATGTTGCTAAGTACAAGATTGTAAAACAGAAATTCATGAATTATAAACGAAATTATTTTATTATAAGAATTATAAGACGTAAATGAATAAACATTAAGACTGACTGCCAATCAAAAACTGTTGAAGGTAAATCCTTCGCTAACGCCGGTCACCGGTGACCCCCATGGCGTTTAACGTGTTAATTTAGGGTTAAAATTAAGAATAAGTGTTTAAAAAACTAACTACATTTATGATTTGCGACCGGATAAACTACATTTTCTTTTTGAAAATTTACATATATGCATACATAACTTCACTCCTGTCTCCCATTGGGGGTAAGCAGAGACCTTTTTACCTTTACCAACAGCTCTAAAATTTCTCCAAATATATTTAAATTAAAAAAAAAACAGTTCTTACCTATAACAGTCAAATTGACTCTAGAATTTCGAGTCTGGGCTTGTTTGAAGTCCACTCTACATCGATAGACTCCTTGATCTGAAGCCTTCACTCGGTCTACTCCGAGCTCTGCTGGTCTTCTCTCGGGTAGAAAGTATGCTCTGGACGCGAACACACTTTCATCCGACCAGCGCTCAGCGACACCGAAGTCTCTTTCTCTTGCGTCGACACTGTAAAAAAAAATATGTTAAATAAAGTACCGTTATCTACTATAAGTAATATAGGTATTTATTTTTAGAAACTCTCAATTTTGTCATAGTTATAAAAAATGGACCACATTTAAAGAAGAAAAAATCAGCGAAGCTGCGCGACATCGCCGCGACCGCGCACGCTGCTTATGAGGAAGAACCCCTCTGTAGTTCGAAACTAGTAGAGCTTATCTAAGTATTTTCACGTGAGTAACCCGCGATTTTTAGTTGATTCAGGTCTCACGATTATATTTATTTTCTTGTTTTTATAATTAGGTTATAAAAACAAGAAAAAAAAATTTTGTCAATAGTCACTTGAATATTGAACAAGATACAATTAAACTGTCAAACACCAAGCGGTCACCGGTGGCCGCAACCTATTGTTCTATAATTGTGTCTACAAAACCGGTACTCGACGAGTTAAACTCAATACTGATAGCAATTAGGCTCAAAAGATAAGTCAATGAATCAAATCCTATAACGAAGAACATTCAGCTCCACAACACAAGATATAAAGACCTATAAACAAAAACAAATTATCTTACAAAAATCTAGCTTCTGTTCCCAACTTTATCTCTGAACAAATTTCACCAATAAATAAACAAATAACCCAATAAACTAATCGCCTTCCAATTATCAAAAAGCTTTACTTCCATGGCGGGCCGCCAAAAAACTTGCCGTACAGATTTTTTATACACGAAAACAAAACAGTTTTATACAAAGCGGCAATCAAAACTATCCTATTTATATCTGAAAATGAAATTAACTGATTAAATTGGAGCCCTTGCCAAGTTTCAGGTTGTTCTTGTTCAGAAGTTCCAAAAGGAAGCCTATCTATTTTAACTGAGAACTTGTGTCTATAACTACGGATTGAGTTACAGAAACCTTAGAATTTTATTAATTAGTCGCGACGGTATATTCTTCAAAGTACGTATAGAAGGCAATAATATTATCTTTCAGTGATATTTACTATTTATAGGCGTATTTCTGCTAAAATTCGGACGGTCATGACTGTTACGATAATTGCTATGTGTATCTCTATAATATTGTTCCATTTATTTGAATGAGAGCCTTGTTAAACTACGACTGGAATATTCATCTTGGGAATTGTACAGAAATTGTTTTAATTAAAATAATTCACAAATTAAACTATCAGGATGTTTTAACTAGAAAATAGCAACGATGTACCTATCTATTTGTAAAGAGTTGTGTTCTTGAATCGGTAGAAATATTTTGTAAGTATTATGATAAGGTTTGGTTAGTATATTAATACTCTTCTATCGTCTTCAATTGTTTTCGCCCATTTCTGGCCATAAGGCTCATCAATAGTAAGGTACTGGGCTCGATTTCTAGCTATTTGCATGCAGTCATAGGCACCTCACCATATAAATATCGCCATTTCACCTAGTTGGAGGTCGTTCAACCACATTTGCCCAGAAGTCGTTACAATAATGTTTGATTTCTAATTATTTATGTTCATAAACGACAATGATCACTGAACTTCAAAGAAATCCAATTGCGTAATGCAATCTCTAGATATCAAAATCTCAAGAACAAAGTCGCAAATCTAATTTCTACAGCTGTTTCCGCATCATCATTTGCCCAGAAGTCGTTACAATAATGTTTGAGTTTTAATTATTTATGATCATAAACGACAATGATCACTGAACCTCAAAGAAATCCAATTGCGTAATGCAATCTCTAGATATCAAAATCTCAAGAATAAAGTCGCAAATCTAATTTCTATCGCTGTTTCCACATCATCATTTGGAGATGTATAAAAGAATAAGAAATACAAAATAGTCACTAAATAAATAGGAATAAAGACGACAATATTACGATTATTTGTTGTTGCCTTATTTACGATAATTTTGTTATTTATACGGATTCTATTTTCTTTTTCTAAGGCATTGGATGTATTGAAAATAATGGCTGACCGTTTCGAAACGGATGGACTGCGAAAGTTTATCTTTATTCTAGAACAGTACAAGTTTTGGACTCCGGTCCGAAGTGCAGTGAAACAGGATTGTTTTATGTGATTCCTTGGGTAACGAATGGGTGTCTAATGTTCAGTGATCATGTATTGTACGCATGCTCTAAAATAGCACATTAAAAGGCTATTGAACATGCTCAAAAATATTCAAAAATCGAACGCTTGTCGATTCGCAAGCTTTCCCGAAATGAGTATGCTAAGTTTGAGCAATATCCCAACACACATACCACTAAGTGATAAGTATCTACTCAATTGAAGCATGATGTCGTGCTTGAAATTAGTACCTATATGTAACAGTACTTTTAGGACTTAACCTAACCTGATTAAAAAATCAGAAGAACAGAAAAAAAAACATGACATAACATCACGCCTTTTATCCCTGAAGGGGTAGGCAGAAGCGCATATTACGGCATTTAATGCCACTGTACAATGTCACACCCACTTTTCACTACTTATGTTATGAGTTACATGTAATAGGGGGTGAGCCCATTGCCATATACCGGACACAATACCAGACGCCGTGCTACTACTGAGATTTTATTTAAAAACCTAGTAATACCTTGCTTGCTCGGGAATCGAAACCTCTTGCCCGGCGGTCGCACTTGCGAAGTTGCGACCACTCGGCCAACGAGGCAGTCTCTCATTCTCTCAGTCAAAAGAGAAAAAGTGAATCAAAAGGCAAAGATAAAATGAAACAAAGATAAATTTTGCTTACAAATCAAAATAGTAGACTGTAAACTGCTCAACTCTGCTTTGTAACAAAAGTGCATAGCGCGAATGTTTAACCATCTCCTCGAACATTCCCGCAGCATCCTTATAGGAGTTTAAAAGGCGTTATTTGTTTTAAATTCTTTTATCTTCAAGTTTCGCTTGTTCTTTGGCTAACTGAATGAGCCGTTTATTCTTCTGTGTTATCATTTTTATTTCTCGTTTGTTTATTTCTTTTGTGAATTTGATATATTTGCTTAAGTAAAAATCTTTTTGTTTTAGTTGTGCAGCCGGCTGCCCCGCAACGTGTAGCGGGTTCGATTCCCGCAAGGAGCAACTCTTTGTGTGATCCACAAATTGTTGTTTTGTATCTGGGTATCATGAAATTATATGTTTGTAAAGGCACCCACGACCCAAGAGAAAATCCTAGTACAATGATCAAAAGTACATCGTTTCTAGTTTTCTATGTCCGTTATTGTATGTACTCGATATTATGGCAACTGATTTTTTTCTATTAACTACATGAGATGAAACTAAAAGGATAACTGGTTCAAAATGTTTATTACATTCCATATGTACCTTTGTCATCTAATTAGGAATTTAAATGTGTGACATCATATAATATAGATGCACGTGTAAACGAATCGAATCGCCATGTTCAAAACAGTACAATCCAAACAGCAAACTATGTAACTAGAGAATTGTACTGTGAACCTGATAGAGTAACCTATGGAGTTTCTTGCTCGTTCTTCTCCATAGGAATCTACACCTTGGAATGAGCAAATAGCTTCACTTTTAATTTTCTTTTTGTTGACGTTCAAAAGTGCCATTCTGGCCTAATTGAAATAAATGATTTTGACTTTGACTTTGACTTTGAAAAGTGACATTTGTAATCATTGGATCAAAAAATCTTTAACAAGGCCAAATTGCAAGACAAAGAATAATGACATAATGAAACTATGCCTTTATTTTACCAAAAAGGTACGTTTAATCTCCAAATAGTGTTCAACGAAGCATAGACTACACGACCCTTTTAAGACATCTCATCTTTAGTAGAAACTGGGACTCTGAGAAAATGTTTAAGGCAGTGCGAGCTTCGTTGGTCTAGAAACCTTTAGAAGTAGCCAGGGCAGTCTTTTAATTTTAAGAGTCAGTAAAGGTTGTTGCATGTTTATTGAATCTATGGTCCCTTTGCGATTGGTGATGGTAGGGTTATGTATTCTGTAAGGTCGATTTTTCATTCGTAGAATAAAAACGTCTGACATTATTTTGTACTAGCTGTTACCCGCGACTTCGTTCGCGTTTAATTATTCGTATTTCTTGTTATTTTATACTTTTTTGACGCGACAACGTGTTGATTGGCGAGGCGTATTTTTAGACCTAGTAGCAAACGGAACGTTTATTGTCTACTCAAGATGGCGACTGCGGTTTGTCTGTCAGTGTCATTAAAATTAATTAATAGAACGAAATAATCTCCGTAATCCGAATTTTGCGGATATGAGCTGTCGACTCGTAATCGATATTTTTTATGTTTTGTTATTCAAGCAATGTTTCGATCGAGTCTACCGTAAGGGGTACCTTGACGAAATTATTTATATAGATGGAAGTATTGTCAAAAATGTCAACATTATTCCTTCGATAAAGATATATAGCGTTGGAAAAATTGGCTGTAAATGAAAAATATTTGAAGTTCTACAATTTACTAACTTTTGAATATGGAATCGAATAAGGCATACATTTTTACAGGATTAAAATGACATGATGATGAGACAATAGGCTCACCCCCTATTACATGGGACTCATAACATATATAGTGTAAAGTGGGTGTTACATTATACAGTGGCATAATGTGCACCTCTGCCTACCCCTTCGGGGATAAGAGGCGTAATGTTTGTTATGTTATGTTAAAATGACATGTTCTCGATAAACGCAAATACAAATAAAATGTTTTCAATGTAATAATAACGACTTCATAGTACAAATGCATAACGATGGAAAATCTGTCACTATTAGGTACCTCGCCCTCGTTATGTTGGCAGTACTGTGTGAAAGCGAGAAACGTGTTCCAACTACCAACCCTAAGCATATAACTTCTCGTACCCTTAGCATTCAACGTCAAAGGCAGAATTCGATACTTTTTGCAAATAAGCAGTCGATGCTTGCAGAACTTATTCGAGTGAGATGCAAAATATCGTCAAACGATAAGGATGTTTTAATTCAAAGTGTTTCATTAATAAATCGTGACTGACATTTGGATCAAAAAGCGATCATTTAATAAGGGATTTTTGGTTACCAAAATCAAATATTGTCATAATGTGGCAAACAGAGGTGTCCATAGTGTACAGTGATCCACTTGTACTAGTTATTAAGTCATGAGTCTCATGTAATAGGTGTTTTTCATTCCAATAGGCAAAAAAGAGAACATGTGATAATATAAAGTTGCGGTGCATCAAATAAATGTCTACGTCTACCTTTCCT